CCCGGAATGTGCAGTATTTGATTGGCAGCTTTCCATGGACATTTTGCTATCATAAATTATTAGTTTATTGCATGAACAAAAAACTCCCCTGAGTGCAGGTTTGAAGCCTGTGATCTCAACAATACATCAGTGTGTTCTTATGCATTACAGTGCCTTGCGAAAGTATCCGGCCCCCTTGAACCTTTCAACATTTCGCCACATTTCAGGCTTCAAACATAAAGATATAAAATTTTAAATTTTTGTCATGAATCAACAACAAGTGGGACACAATCGTGAAGTGGAACGAAATTTATTGGATAATTTAAACGTTTTTAACAAATAAAAAACTGAAAAGGGGGGCGTGCAATATTATTCGGCCCCTTTACTTTCAGTGCAGCAAACTCACTCCAGAAGTTCAGTGAGGATCTTTGAATGATCCAATGTTGTCCTAAATGACTGATGATGATAAATAGAATGCACCTGTGTGTAATCAAGTCTCCGTATAAATGCACCTGCTCTTTGATAGTCTCAGGGTTCTGTTTAAAGCACAGAGAGAACCATGAAGACAAAGGAACACACCAGGCAGGTCCGAGATACTGTTGTGGAGAAGTTTAAAGCCGGATTTGGATACAAAAAGATTTCCCAAGCTTTAAACATCTCAACAATACATCAGTGAAACCGCCTATAAGTATTGCACGCCCCACTTCTCAGTTTTTTATTTGTTAAAAAAGTTTAAATTATCCAATAAATTTCGTTCCACTTCACGATTGTGTCCCACTTGTTATTGATTCTTGACAAAAAATAGAATTTTTATATCTTTATGTTTAAGAAGAATACTTTCGCAAGGCACTGTACATGCACTTTTGTAACTGCAACACATGCAGGGGTCTTCAGGTCTCATGGTGCCTAGGCACAATTCCAATCAATTTAATAAATCAAAGCAAAGTATAGCCCTAAATCACAACAGAAGTCCTATGAAGACTTGTTGATTCCTCCACAACACATCAGAGAAACAGTTCAAATACAAGAAATGCAATAATAACAAACACATAAGAGCCATTTTTCCTGGCGGCGGATGATTAATAAACATAAATGTTATACATGTCTATAAATGTCCAGAAATGTTAATACAAGTCCCTAAATGTCCTAAGGTGTCCCAGATCATCACTGACTGATCTACACTGACATCCCTGCTTCGGAAAGGAACAACTCAAAAACCTCAGGGTGAAGCACAATGGCCCTCATTTATGAAACGTGCACAGAAAAGGGTGTATATTATTGGTGTAGCTTCCATTTACGCAAGCTCCAACGCAGGATTTATGAACGTGTGAGATCTGCCCAGATCTAAGCGTATACGCAGCCGCGGCTGTTCATAAATGCCTCGCTCAAAACTATAGCGTATGAAAGTCGACACCTTCACCGACTCCCACTGATGTCTGGTGTCGTTGTGTCCTTGGGCAAGACACTTAACCCCACTTTGCCTGAAGCCCCCGCTGAAAGATCTCAGCTCCTGTGGACTCACCACCTGCAGGAGGATCAGTGAGGGGCTGGTGCTCTGTGTACTGGGTGCAGCTCTGATTGCTACCCCCCCGACCCAGAAATGGATTAAGTGGAAGAAGATGGATGGATGGATGAAAGTCACGCCTAAAAGTATTCAGAAACTGCCTAAAAGTATTCAGAAACACGCCCCGTTTTTATGACAGTTCAGCATGGACGCTTCAAAAGGCCTGTTAGTGACAAGCACTGAGTTTAAATTGAGTTTTATTTTATTATTTTGTAAAAAAAAAAGTACATTGCTTTGCCAGAGGTGAATGAGACAAAACAAATAGCCATGCGTAATTACGCAGCGCAAGGTCTGCCGCAGATTTACGGAGAAATAGATGGGTCACACATTAAGTGAGTAAGTAAGCCAGGTGTATTTGTTTAGCGCCTTCACAGACCAGGATCACAAAAAACTACACATTTGAAAAAATAAAAATAAAAATACAGATGAAAATAATACACATTCAAGACAGATTTAAAATCAAAGAAACAGAAGAGGGCCCTTATCATGAACTGTGATTTATTCTAAATTTGCATGTTTCCATTAGAGTTTTTCTGATGTGCAAATTCAAATTTCGAAATGTGATGCAATGAAAACGCAGCTTTTAATTTTGCCAGAGTGGAAATGTTTACTGTTTACCAAAACTTGAATTTCATGCGTGTTTTGGCGTGTTGTGATGAAGGTTGAAATGGGTGTAAAATTTACACCACCTCGGCGTGTATTTTGTGCCTCATTTACACCCTGATTTTTCTTTTCCCAAGTTTCAGAAATGAGGGCCAATGAGAGAGAGATCCCATGGACAGACAGGCAATAGATCCAGGACTCAGGCTAGAACAAGGACTGAAAGCACTAGAGCACTCACGTTCACAATAAGAAGTCGTGGGTTTAATCTTGTGTGTTTCCTGGGCCTTATTGTGTGGAGTTTACATGTTTCTCCCTGTGTCTGGGTACGTTTCTTCTGGACGCTCCGGCTTTCACCCACAATCAAAAAACCATGTACGATAGATCCAATCCTCCAGCTTTGTCCTGACCAAGCCGAGCATCAACATCTGGAGATGGGTCCCCTGGCACTGCACTGCAGCGACCACGGCTCCTGACAGGACGTCCCAGTGGTATTGAGGGATGGGTCAAATGCAGAGGACACATTGCCTGGGGACATTAAAGTGTATACCTTTCAACCTTTCACTATAAATGTGTCTGTTGACTCTTAATGCCTGTAGTTTGGTGAACAAAAAAAAAAAAAAAAGGTTTATATTGTTTTGACATGTTCCCCACTAAAATCAGCAGCTCTCTGCCAATCTTGACTGAAGTTGCTCAGTTAAGTGTTTACTTCATCCAACCCCTTTTCAAAATGTGTAAAGTTTGTGCTGACAAAGTGACCTGCGTGTTATAAATAAGTAAAATCTTTGCTTGCAAGGCAGCTCCATCAGAGAACATTGTGCCATGAAATAAATCAAAGGAAAGACTCAAAATGCTGCTATAGAATTTGTTTTAATGATAATATAGTCTCAGGCGAACAATGAACAACTAACAAACTGAACAGAGGAGCCATGAAAACAGATGGACACAGGCCATGAACCAGCAACCAATGGGGATAAAAACACAGAGGGAGACACAGGTGAAGCGCATTAGGACAGAGCAGACGATCAACGACAGGAAGTAAAACTGAAATAAATCCAACAAGGGAACGGATGTCAAAATAAAAGTATTAAACAAAAACAAAGGTCCACACCACTCCATGACACATTGAGCAGGTTTTAAAGGAAATATTTCAAAACAAAAAGCATATCTCCATTGTGTGAATCACTAAGAGCCATTTATGACAGATTTAACACAGATTAGAACCCATAGTTAGCACAGTTGTACATGCTCTCTAATCGTGCATGCTTTTTTTTCTGTCCATTATTGCACTGAAAGCCCACATCTTATAGGCAGAGCAAATCCGCCGGCGTAATGCTCTTGTTTGCTTGTTTGGACACTCATGCGGCCATTTATCCATTCATCTTTTCGTCCTGTCATTCATGCATTCACCGCCTCTTAATCTCAGAGAATTGAGAGCGATTTGAGAATAAACAGCAACCCTGGCAGTGCCCCAGCCCAGTGTCGCGGCTTAATCCCGATCTCACGCTACTCCCCACCCCCGTCCCATGCTCTCCACACAGGGGCTTACACGTGTAGAGTGGACCATTACAGAATATAATCCATGAGTGAAAACCACCGGTGCTGTGCTGCTGCTTTTTGCCGCTGTTCTTCACCCCATATGCCACAGCCATCCACGTTCTTCACCATCTGCCCCTTTTCCGGGTGGTTATGAAAAGAAAATGAGGAAAAAGAGCCGCCCCAATGCACTCTGAAATTTACAATATTGTTTAATCCAGTCCAGGTCAGTGTTATTTTGGTGGCATGAATGTGTTTCACCAAATTACACACATCTCCTGTTGGATATTTTCTGGGATACATTTTTGTTGTTGTTTTTTTCTATTTTGGGCTCACAGAAAAGCAGTGTGATTTAAACTGCTAAAGCCATTGCTATCATATCTGTTATTCATCTGTTGTAAAAGCAGCAATATCAGGGCTAACCCCTCATTTGATCTGTTAGCACCCATTAACTGTGTCATTTTATAGGTCACAACAAAGTTTTGGCATAGCAGCAGATTAAATTAAAATATCTCTCCTGGTATGGCCAAAACGGCCAAGGAAAATTCTGGGAGGAATTGCAAAGGGTAGCATGAATTGTAAACTACAGCAGAGTAGAGTAAGAGGTATGCAACTTGAATTTAATGTGTCTAATGACACATTAGAAGTGCATGGACAAGTTCTCAAGTAAGAGTAGTATTCGCATTTAAATAACTATAATTAACTTATAATTTTTCTGATATCGTGTCCTTGTGAGTCCTATTCAAGGTGTCCTATCCTTATTTATAACCAGGGAGCAGAGATCCAGGGACAGACAGAGGTGAAGAAGAGAAAGTTACTCAGCTCCAGTAAAGCTATAACCATGTCATTACTGCATAAAGACGGGAAGCAGTTACTCAAAAGATCCATTGAGACAAGTGAAGGAATTAGGAACAGAGCTCTTCTAGGACTTTAGACTCTGAGAAATCATTGAGAAAAAAAGGCTTTTAATTGATAAAATTAAGTAATTTTTTACTTGAAGAATTACTGGACATTCACAATAACTGACGTGACTAACAAGCTGGAACAGTCAGTGAAGTGCAACTTTATCAAAAGGTTGTATTGCCCCTCTCTGCTTTGATACAGAAGGTTACTTGTGACAAAAATGCACTGTATCCAGCCAAAAATACTCATGATCTTTGGAATAATTCAAACAATATCAACAAAAATGGCCTCTATGCAGTTTACAATGTGACTTTTACAACATCACTTAATCTCACATTTCCCTGTCTTAGGAAATCATGTGTTTCCCTTTTGCTACGACCACAAAACCTGGACCTATCTCCCACTCTCCCCGTTGGGGTCAGGTGCCTTCATTCTGGCAGTCATGAGATTCTGTAGAAGTGGCAGTGGCGCAGGACCCAGTGTGATCACAGCTATAGTCTCCAGGCGCCAGCGCCATATGCTGCTGCCGCCACCCACAAATAAACCCAAAGTCATCTGACAGTGAGCCGAGGGCCGCAGCGGGGCCGTATCCGCCTGCTGACCGCTGAATCATCACCCGGCTGTTGAATGGCATCTCCTCCCCTACAGGTCTGCCAGCCCTCAGCACTGCTTTGCCCCCGGACAGATATGATGTCTCCATCCTCTAATCTAATTTGTGTGTGTTTTGTTCTGGGAAATAGCACTAATTTGGTAGCTCTTCTAACTTACCGTGATGGCAACGTTAGCTCATGGTATAATGGATGCTCAAAATGAGTGTGCAAGTCAGGAGTATCTCTGGACTGACTGGCCTTCAAGATGTTACTTCTCTCTCGCTGGGTCTGAAAAAAGTATACCAATCACATGCTCTGCAAAGATTTGAGTGGCATTGATCATCAGGACTTCATTTACAATAGAGGGTCATCAGTGTGGTCAGATCAGCGTCCTCTTCTCTTCCATCTCTGTGTCCCTGTCGGAATCTGCTGATGTCATGCTGCGGTGCCAACTTCAAAGCCTGGAACATGAAGCTTATGTTGAACGTGTGTGAGGTGGAGTATGATCGGGGCTGTTTATAAAACAGTTATAATTGAACCAACAGACACTTTATAATAATGTGGAACTGCAAAGGATTTATTAATGTTTATTAACCATTTACTAATGAATTACTCATTAACAACATGTCTGATAATTGTTGTGGTTCTTTTTAAAAACAAGTTAGATGTTGTTTCTTTTTTAACATGTTTCGGATGCAGCGTTTATACAATCACTAACGCTGGATCAAGGAAGAGATTTAAATCAGTGAGGCAACAACATCATCAACCCGAGATGTGGGGGCCTTCCTCCTGTCCCACACATGGGACACCCTCCTCCAGAGACCAGAGGGGCCCTGTCAGGTCAATCAGGCTGACCACGCCTACTCGGGAAGCAACATCAGCTGATAAATGTCAGCTGATAACAGGATGTATCACAAAACTCAAAGGACCCACAAAACTGTGTCTTTACCCAAACTTAATTCTAGTTTAATTTCCATAGCACAAAGGAGCATCAGAGATACAATTAATCATCATACTTTTCTCCACAAAATAAATGTGACACTTTAAATTTGTTCCTCCTGTGGACTCACCACCTGCAGAGGGTCAGTGAGGGGCTGGTGCTATGAGACTTGGGTGGCATCTCTGACTGCCACCCCCCTGACCCAGAAATGGATTAAAGGGAAGAAGATGGATGGATGGATGGACTTTAAATTTGTAGAATCCGCCCCACCTGAGGATGTTGGGGCGGATACTTACATCTCCCTGGCCGAGGTCACCAAGGTGGTTGGCAGCCTCCATGGTGGCAAGGCGCCGGGAGTGGATGAGATCCGTCCTGACTATCTAAAGTCTCTGGATGTTGTAGGACTGTCTTGGCTGACACGTCTCTGCAGCATCGCGTGGCGATCGGGGGCGGTACCAATGGAGTGGCAGACCGGGGTGGTGGTCCCTCTCTACAAGAAGGGGGACCGGAGGGTGTGTTCCAATTATCGTGGGATCACACTCCTCAGCCTCCCCGGTAAGGTCTACTCCAAGGTACTGGAGAGGAGGCTACGTCCGATGGTCGAATCTCGGATTCAGGAGGAGCAGTGTGGTTTTCGTCCAGGTCGCGGAACACTGGACCAGCTCTATACTCTCCATCGGATACTCGAGGGTTCATGGGAGTTCGCCCAACCTGTCCACATGTGCTTTGTGGATTTGGAGAAGGCGTTCGACCGTGTTCCCCGGGGTGTCCTTTGGGGGGTCCTCCGGGAGTACGGGGTCCGGGGTCCTCTGCTGAGGGCCGTCCGGTCCCTGTATGACCGGAGTCAGAGCTGTGTTCGCATTGCCGGCAGTAAGTCAGACCTGTTCCCGGTGCATGTTGGCCTCCGCCAAGGCTGCCCTTTGTCACCGGTTCTGTTCACTGTATTTATGGACAGAATTTCTAGGCGCAGCCAGGGGCCGGAGGGGGTCCGGTTCGGGAACCACAGGATTTCATCTCTACTTTTTGCGGATGATGTCGTCCTGCTGGCTCCAACGAACCAGGACCTGCAGCATGCACTGGGACGGTTTGCAGCCGAGTGCAAAGCGGCTGGGATGAGAATCAGCACCTCCAAATCCGAGGCCATGGTGCTCGACCGGAAAAAGGTGCCTTGCCCTCTTCAGGCGGGTGGAGAGGTCCTTCCTCAAGTGGAGGAGTTCAAGTATCTCGGGGTCTTGTTCACGAGTGAGGGGAGGATGGAGCGTGAGATTGACAGGCGGATCGGTGCAGCGTGCGCAGTGATGCGGTCGCTGTATTGGACCGTTGTGGTAAAGAGGGAGCTGAGCCGAAAGGCAAAGCTCTCGATTTACCGGTCAATCTTCGTGCCCTCCCTCACCTATGGTCATGAGCTTTGGGTAATGACCGAAAGAACGAGATCGCGGATACAAGCGGTCGAAATGAGCTTCCTCCGCAGAGTGGCTGGGCGCTCCCTTAGAGATAGGGTGAGGAGCTCGGTCACACGGGAGGAGCTCGGAGTAGAGCCGCTGCTTCTCCACGTCGAGAGGAACCAGTTGAGGTGGCTCGGGCATCTGTTCAGGATGCCTCCTGGACGCCTTCCTGGGGAGGTGTTCCGGGCACGTCCCACCGGGAGGAGGCCCCGGGGAAGACCCAGGACACGCTGGAGAGACTATGTCTCTCAGCTGGCCTGGGAACGCCTTGGGGTCCCCCCGGACGAGCTGGAGGAGGTGTGTGTGGATAGGGAAGTCTGGGCGTCTCTGCTTAGACTGCTGCCCCCGCGACCCGGCAACGGATAAAGCGGAAGAAAATGGATGGATGGATGGACTTTAAATTTGTATGTGAACATTGTATACAACATAGGGCGACAGTAGCTCAGTTGGTAGAGCGTTGGCCTTTGAGCCACGACTGTAGACTGCTTCTACAGTCGTGTTGCAGCGCTACATCTGTGGATCCAGTCAATGTCCAGCTCTTTTAACTTTGTGTTTGTAAATAATTTTGGCTTATTTTGGAGACGTCATGTAGCGTACCGCCCTGATGGCTTGCATCCAAATAAGTTTGGCACAAGCTTGTTGATAGACTACCTACGTCACGTTGTACAGTGGACTCCGAGAAGCAAATGACTGTTTACATCGCGGCCCCTTCCAGGCGCACATAGCTCTACGTCTTCCTCGCTTGCACCGGGTGAGTACACTGACCCCTGTCTGCCTGGCCCTGCACAACTGGATGTTCCACCTTACTCCTCCACTGTACCAAACATAGTCCAACACGCCATTAATCACCTTCCCTGCGAGAGGAAGACTGGGTCTCGTCTTCCTTGAAGACGAGACCCAGACCTAAATTAAATGGTGAAATGGTGAGAACGCCTAATCAGAGGAATTTAATTCCTGTCCCTATTACAAAGATTCTGTCTACTGATGTAAAAAAGGGCCTGAAACTTGCTGTTTTTAATGTCAGGTCTCTTTGTAATAAGTCCTTTTTAATTAATGATTTTATTTCTTCATATGAGCTTGATTTTATGTTTTTAACAGAAGTATGGCTCGATAAAAAGAACGCTAATACTGTTTTAATAGAATCCGCCCCACCTAATTTTAAATTTGAATTTGAGGCACGAGAAAATCGTAAAGGTGGAGGCGTGTGTGCTCTTTTTAAACACGTTTTTTGTACCAACAAACTTTTACTTGGGGCCTTTTCTTCTTTTGAGTACGTTTCCTTTAAAATGGAACAGGGAAAATCTCCTCCCATACTCTTCCTAATCGTATATAGACCCCCCCAGCACAGCCCAAATTTTATAGATGATTTTACTGAGATGTTGTCAGTTATTTGCGTAGATTTTGATGCCATTGTCATTACAGGTGATTTAAATATCCATATGGATGTTGTTGGTAATAAAGATACCAAAGAGCTCAACTCTTTATTGGAAACCTTTGGTCTATTTCAGCATGTGCGTGATCCCACTCACAGCAAAGGACATATCTTAGACCTTTTAATCACAAGAGGGGTTAATGTGTCAAATGTGCGCGTTGTTGATATATGTCTGTCCGATCACTTCTGTGTTTTCTTTGACCTGTCTTTTCTGCCTAAGCCACCAGAAGGTCCTGCTATAGTTCGCAGAAGACATATAAATGAAAGCACTGGTCCACAGTTCATAGAAATGTTACATTTTGATATTACGGAGTGTTCCAATGTTGAGGATTTGTTTAACAACTTTAGTCGGAGTGTTTTATCTGTGATCGAAACCATTGCTCCCATGACGACTAAGTTGGTCATCAAACCAAAAGCACCATGGAGGAATGAAATTGCTGTTAGGGAACAAAAAAGACAGTGCCGGAGGGCTGAGCGCAGGTGGCGCAAGTCCAAGCTCCAAGATCACCATGAGATCTATAAGACAAAACTAAAATGCTACAATGACATGTTATGTAGAACGAGGGAAAGGCATTTTTCTGAAATTATAGCTAATAATGTAAATAACTCTCGTGTCCTGTTCGCAACAGTAAATAGATTAACAAATCCACCTTCTCAGTTGCCACTAGGGTTTAATACAGCTGCTAAGTGCAACGAGTTTGCTTATTTTTTCAATGAAAAGGTACAGAGAATAAAAAACGCAATCACTCCTGTCCCACAAACAGATATCTTAAATCCAACTCGAGAGTATGATTTCCCTAATTTCCTTACTGTCAACAACAATACAGTCCAGAATATAGTTTCCAGCATGAGCACGTCAATTTGTAGCCTTGATGTTTTGCCCACTAATTTTTTTAAGTTAGTGGTAGGCAGTTTTCTCTCAGTCCTCACTGAAATAATCAATTTATCCCTTCAATCAGGAACTTTCCCTGCGGCTCTTAAAGTCGCAGTCATCAGGCCTCTTATAAAGAAAAGCAGTCTTGATGCCACAGTACTGCAAAATTATCGACCAATTTCAAATCTGCCATTTCTGGGAAAGATACTTGAAAAAGTTGTTCATCAACAACTCATGGATTTTTTGTTAGTCAACAACATATTCAATGTGCATCAGTCTGGATTTAGACCGTCCCATAGCACTGAGACTGCACTAATAAAGGTGACTAATGATATTCGACTGAGCACTGATGCTGGGAAACACTTGAGTGCGGCCTTTGATACGGTTGATCATGAAATCCTCTTGGAGAGACTGGAAAA